ACCGCTGGGTTTCAAGATTTGTTTCTGAGTCTTTGGGATCATGGCCGTTAAGCAGTTTGATCAGGGGCCAGAGAGACTGTTCGTGGGTGATGACTTGGGGTCTCGTTGGGGTGGGGAGGACAGGCCCGGCCCCCCCCATCCCGTGAGGCCCAAAATGTCTTGTCACTGCGGTCCCAGACCTAACTGTCCAGTGGCCTCTGGAGGATGATGGCCACTGAGCCACCAAGGGGGAGCAGGCAGAGGGACAACACCCCTCCCCCCTGGGATGGCCCGGCGACAGTAACGTACTGTGGGGTCCGGACGCATTTCTGCCAGAAGCCGCTGGGTTTCAAGATTTGTTTCTGAGTCTCTGGGATCAAGGTCATTAAGCAGCTTCATAAGGAGCCAGAGAGGCCATTCGTGGGAGATGACTTTCGGTCTCGTTGTGGTGGGGAGGACAGAACCGGCTCCACCCCCATCCCGGGAGGCCCTGCATGTCTCATCACTGGGGGCCCAAACTTGACTGTCCAGTGGCCTCTGAAGGATGGTGGCCACTGGGCCACCAGGGGGAACAGGCCAAGGCACAAACCCTATTCCCACCTGGGTTGGCCCAGCACCGGTGACCTACTGCAGGGACCAGACGCATTTCTGCCAAAATCCGTTGGGTTTCAAGATTTGTTACTGAGTCTCTGGGATCATGGCCATTAAGCAGTTCAATCAGGAACCAGAGAGGCCTTGCCTCCAATTATATAACTGAGCTGGAGGTGGTTTGTGGGTGTGTTTCCCACACACCTAACTTTTGGCCGTTTACTTTCTTGGTAAACTTTGCCCCAAGTTTTGGGGTCTGGCCAAAGGCACAGCAGCAATTTTGGGGTATCTGGAAGTCTGAAGGTGCCATCAGGCTGCTGATGCACTCGCCTCACAGGTACAGATAGACCTGCAGGCGGCACCATACCCCCATGTCTATCACTTTTGTCCAAGAATATTTTCTAATGTTCAAGGACTGGTTGGGAAGTTGGGAGGGGGAAATGGTATGGACGGAAAGCAAAGGTTTACAGGGGTCTCTAAGCTCAGGAGGCCCCAATCTCTAAACTGTCTCCCATCCCCCTGACAACCACTTTTAACTCACGGAGGGGGTCTGAAAAGTTTCACATCCTGTTTCATAAAGGGCAAGTCCAGGGTCCAAAGCTGGACCGTGGAGGTGAGAAAAACCTTACATTAGGCCCTAGTGAGGGGCCCGTCAAGCAACAACCCAGAAAAAATGTGGGATAAATGTCTTAGCCTCTGGCCTATTTTCCCCCTCAAAGCCCTTCACTAGTCAGAGATAACTTTCCCTGGCTGAAGGGATTTCAGTTCGCTGAGCTGTTACCCTGGAAACCTCTGTTTTTCAGAGAGCCAGAGGGCCACTCTGCGCCCCCCCCCCCCCCCCCCCGCCTCCGGCACACACACACACACACACACACACACACACACACACACACAGAGGCCTTTAATTAGTCATGAGTTCCTAGAAGCCAGATGGGAAACCACAGTCAGGCTTATGTGCAGCTGGAATTGGTTTGTGACCAGGGAAGGGGCGGGGCTTGGGGATGGCTCCGGGCCCTGGAGCAGCACAATCTGTTCTCAGGATGCCCCCAACTTCCTCAACCCCCATCCCAGACACTTCCTGGCATTCCCACTCACCCTTTACCCCTCAGACACGCACCTCTTCAGTCACTGGCCTGAAATGACTCAGTTGAGAGGACAAAAGCAAATCTAGGAGCTTTCAGTTCCCATCAAAGGATGAAGGAGACAGACCATGATGTGCCTACCTTCTCCAAATCATGGGAGGGGAAAAAAAAGTGTCAGGCTACTGGACTTCCCCTGGGAGAGTGCCAGAAACTGCTGCCGTTGGTGCCCTGACTGGGCCCAACACCAGAGGGCTGCAAAAAGGCTCCATTCCAGCGTCTGGAAGCAGCAGGGGTATGGAGGAAAAGAACTGGGCACTTTCAGCCTTTGGGTGGAGAGAGAGGAGAATAAAATGCTAATGCCAGAGAGTGTTGCTCCTTCTGGGAGTTGCAGCCTTTAACAAAAACACAAAAGCTAATCTTTCTTGTCTCCCCCAAGGAGGATGCGGGGCAGGTTGGCCTTCTATCCTCACTCTGTAACTCAAGATTTGTTCTAGTGCGTGGAGACCATCACTAGACTGCAAAGTCTGTACTTGTTTGGCTTCGTTTTGTGTTGGCAAAAGGGATTTTCGAGGGGGTGGATGAGGGAAGAGGCCCAGCACTGACTTCCCCTTTGGAAGAGTGTCCTGATTAGAGCGGGCAAGTGGACCTGGATAAGGCCCAGTTCTGATCCCCCAGGCCAGCCACTGTGGAAGGCTGCCCTGCCTGGAGGGGGTCTGTAGTCTCCGCATCCACTCTTTCATCCTTACTTGCTTAAGAAGGGTAGAAGGTGTTCACGACTTGCTTTGCGTGTGTGCATGTGTGTGTGTGTGTGTGTGTGTGTGTGTGTGTGTGAATTGTGTGTGAATTCATCATTTGGGAATGAGAGAAGATTACTACTGTACACAAGTACCATGCACAGAGAGAGGGGAAAAAAAGAGCAAAAGGATTTTAGCGCCAAAGAGGCACCATTCCAGCTTGAGTCTGAGCTGCCTGCAGCTTTGGCAGTGAGTACCTCCCCTCAGCTGTGAAAGAGGTGTTTGAAATGAGAAATAGAAAGAGAAAACTGAAAAAGAAGACTGCTGGGCCAGAGGAAGACCGAATTCTCAGATTGGAAGGTGTTCCCCAGGCCTAGAGCCACTCTGGCTAATACTCAGTCTATAAGTGCTCACCTCAGGGGTTCTTGGGCCCAGTTGTGCTGCTCAGGTCTGCTAGAGCTGGGGGGTGGGGGGGACGGGCACTAGGGCCACCCTAGATACATTCAATATCAGGGATCTCCAATCTTTTTTTTTTCTTTTTGGGTCACACCCGGCGATGCTCAGGGGTTACTCCTGGCTTTGCACTCAGGAATCACTCCTGGCAGTGCTCAGGGGACCATATGGGAATCAAACCCGGGTCGGCAGCATGCAAGGCAAATGCCCTACCCACTGTGCTATTGCTCCAGTCCCTGTTCAATATTTTGTACTGTCTCCCCGCCCTTGTATTCTCAGATTTTTGTTTGTTTTGTTTATTGTTTTTGGACCATTCCTAGTGATACTCAGAGTTATTCCTGGCTCTGCATTCAGGAATTACTCCTGGCAGTGCTTGGGGGCCATATGGGATTTCAGGGATCGAGACTAGGTTGGCCATGTGCAAGGCAAATGTCCTACCTGCTGTACTATTGCTCCAGCCCCTCTCAGATTTTTTAATCCAGAAGCTATTCCTAGCAGGCTGTGTGTGCCTGCTATTGACCGCTGTAGTGCACATGTGTGTGTGTGTGTGTGTGTGTGTGTGTGTGTGGTTTTCATTTTTTTTTTTGCTTTCTGGGGTCACATCCGGCAATGCACAGGGGTTACTCCTGGCTCTGCACTCAGGAATCACTCCTGGCAGTGCTCAGGGGACCATATGGGATGCTGGGAATCGAACCCAGGTCGGCCACGTGCAAGGCAGACGCCTTACCCACTGTGCTATTGCTCCAGCCCCTCATTTGGTTTGTTTTTGTAGTGCTATGGAAGGAACCCTGGGCTGATGAGGCCAGACAGTATGTGTTGCTTTATTATAGGAGTGATACTTTCTTATTATTAAAAAATATATACATAAATAAAGCCCAGGAAACTGAGGCATTGAGTAATAAACAGTGTCGGGCTCTGTTCATTACTCAAGATCACCATTCTGCCCCCAGATCAGAGGAAGGGGAAGAGAAAGTGGGAGGCTGCCAGCCACCCTGGCTTGGCTCTGCTCAGCCCTGGTCCTAAACGATACACACAAAAAAGGATGCCAGGAATCCCAGACTTAGAGCCTGCTTTGCACGTCTGAGGTTGCTGAGACTTCAGTTTGACCACTAGCCCAAGTGCGACCCCTACAGCTCTGCTGTTTGAATGCCCCTACAGCACAGCAGAATGCTGGGGGCGGAGAGGTAAGAGTGGGAAGGGAATGGTCCTTGCACAGGGCTGACACCCAGCATGCCACATGGTCCACTGAGCACTTCCAGGCATGATCCCTGAGCATAGAGCAAGGGTTAATCCCTAAGCAAAGTCAAATATGACCCCCCTCAAATAAACAAACATAAAAAGAAACTGTGTGCTCACCAGGACACCACAACCACATGTGAATGTACACCACAACTATGTGATCCTTGGGAAGCTTTGCAATCAAGTGTACAAGTGTAATGAGCCAAACAGAAACAACCATAGCAATAAAGGAAAAGGGGAGGGAGGAAAAAAGGAAGTTAGACATTGATGGTGAGAGAGAAGTGCTCTGGGAGATCTTTGGAAAAGAAGAGCTGGAACAGGAAGAAGAAGAATCATCTGGGGGTCGGAGAGTTAGTAAAATGGGGAAGGCACTTGCCTAGCACTCAGATGACCCAAATTTGATCCCCGGCATCCCATAAAGTCCCCCAAGCTACACCCAGGAGTGATCCCTGAGCACTTCCAGGTGTGGTCCCCTAACTAAAAAATAATAAGAAGAAAAACTACCTGATAGTCTGCCACAAAGTTGTCACTGTTCCCTCACCACCCATCCTTTATGAAGGGATTTCTGAGGCAAGAAGAGAAGCAAATGAAAAGGTCCCCCTGCCAAAAAAAAAAAAAAATGCCTTCTGGAGCTTCTGCCTAGTTCCAGAAGGCATTCTTGTTCTTGGTTATCTGTAAACAGAGATAGGCTGACTAATGCCCCACAATCATGTTCTTATCCCTGGAACCTGAGAGTATTATCTTCCAAGGTAAAACGGCTTTATTGGAATGATTAACGAATGGTACAGTGAAGAGATTATCCTGGATTATGGCCGTGAATGAACTTGGGGTAATCATAAAGGGAGGCAGGAGGATCAGAGAGACAAGTCTGTCAGAAGTAGAGGTTATAAAGAGGTGAAATCATAAACCAAGAAATGAAGCCAACCTTGAGAAGCTGGAACTGGCCTGGCAGATCCTCCCCAGAGACGCCAGAAGGAGCACAGCCCTGTCAACACCTTCGTTTTAGCCAGTCACATGCATTGTGGACTTCTGACCTTAAAATCCCTGGGATAATAAATGTGCTGAGGTTTACACAGCTAAGCCACTGTAGCTATGGTCACTTTTTAACAACCGGAATAGGAAACTACTATAAACACTTATTTATAAGAAATTCTCTCTTCTGTCCTTTCTGCCCCTCTTTCTTTTGAGTTCAAATTTGCTTCTGCAACTTGCAACCAGTGATCCTTAATTCATAAGAAAATTTAAATAGAAGTCAGACAGTTTGATCCTCAGTATCCCTTATGGTCCTTTGAGCACTGCCAGGAATGATCCCTGAGCACAGAGTCAGGAGTAAGCCCTGAGCACCATCCAGTGTGGCCCAAAAACAAAAGAAAAAAGAGAGATAATCAAAATATTCTTTCTTCGATAAGAATTTACAGTCTTTCCTCTTCTTTCTTTCTTTCTTTCTTTCTTTCTCTTTCTTTCTTTTTCTTCCCTCCTTCCTCCCTCCCTTTCTCTCTCTTTCTTCCCTCCTCCCTCCCCCCTCCCTTTCTCTCTTTCTCTTTCTTTCTTTCTTTTTCTCTCTTTTCTTCTTTCTTTCTTTCTTTCTTTCTTTCTTTCTTTCTTTCTTTCTTTTTTTGGGGGCCACACCCAGTAGTGCCCAGGGCTTTCTCCTCAAAAGCTCTCAGGAATCACTCATTGAGAGCTCAGGGGACCATATGGGATGCTGGGGATCGAATCCAGGTTGGCCATGTGCAAGGCAAGAGCCCTACCTGCTGTTCTATCACTCTAACCCTGACTTAATCATTTTTTAAAATAATTTATTTATTTATTGAATCACTGTGGGAAAAGTTACAAAACTTTCAGGTTTAGGTCTCGGTCATGCAAATATCAAACACATTTCCCGTTACCAACACTTAGTTTTCACCACGAAGAACCCCAATAGACCCCCACCTCCCACCCCTCCCAATGCCTGTGAGGCAGATGAATTCTAGTTAACACTCTATCTACTTTGACTAGATTTATTGTTTTGATAAAAGATGCAACATTATTATTTAGAGTTTACCCCCCCCCAATCAGACATGCTGAAAAAACATAGTGAAATGATTTGCTTTCTACAGCTGGGTTCAAGAATTAAATGATATTTTAGATTTCTGCTATTTTACTTATTAACCCTGGAAGTATTTCTACTGAGAGTCAGATAATTAAGAGATTGGTTTCTGTGCTCTGGAGCCATGGCCGTGCCGGAGAGCCGCTCGTGGGGGGCAACTGGTGACCTCGGTAGGGCGTGAAGGACGAGCCGGGAATGCCCCCCCCCCCCAGGAGGTTTTAGTCGCCCCATCACCACCGGCTCATACCTGGCTTTCCACAAGGCTCCCCAGCGGCTGCCATCTTTCTTTCCAGAGGGGAGAAGGCGGAAGGGACCATGAGTTAATCATTTTTTAAAAAGTGATTGCAGTAAGATTAGTGACCCAGGAAGATGCACTGTTTTCTAACTTACATCTACCCTTCTTATTTTGGGGGTGAGTTTGGGCCATTCCCGGTAGTGCTCAGGGCTGTACTCAGGAATCACTCCTGGAGGGCTTGGGAGACCATATGGGATGCCAGGGATTGAATCCAGGTCAGCCACATGCAAGGAGCCTTACTATGTGCCCTTTGAGTTTTACTATCGCTTCGGCCCCCTACACCCAGCCCTTCTGTCGCAGACACTTGCCAGGGAGAGTCATCCAAGACATGTGGGCCAGCATAGTTTCCGGGACTGAGACTCAGGGGTGCCGAGAGCAAGACACAGCTTCTGTCCTCCAATATTGATAACAGCACCTGGCAGTTGGTTTCCCAGCTCTCTCTCTCTCTCTCTTTCTCTCTCTCTCTCTCTCTCTCTCTCTCTCTCCTCTTCCTCTCTCTCTCCTCTCTCTCTCTCTTTTTCTTTCTCTCTGTCCTCCTGTTTTCTGATCCTTACTTGGGGTTTTCCTGTTTTCACTGAAACTTGAGGGCAGGCAAAGAGAGAAAAGGGAAATAAAAAACAATAATCTGACAATGCTTCGACCCAACACATAGTCCTATGCTAGAAATTTAGGCACATCTGCTGCCTGAGCCCATGTGCTGCTTGTGTCCACGTGAACAAGAACAAGTGATGCCCGAGCACATGTGTCACCCGCATCTCCCCTCTTGAGATGTTTATTGGGACTCTTGCCCCCTTTGGAGAAGCACGCATTCTCTCCTGAACACATTACTCTCTCTCTCTTTCTCTCTTTCTCTCTCTCTCTCTCTCTCTTTCTGTCCCCCCTCCCTCCTTCTCTTCCCCTTCCTCAAAAACCTCCAAATAAAAATTGTTTTTATTTAGAAAGAAAGAAAGAAAGAAAGAAAAAAAAAAGAAAGAAAGAAAGAAAGAAAGAAAGAAAGAAAGAAAGAAAGAGAAAAAAATTATCCCAGGGGATAGGGAATAAAGTGGTAAAGGCTTCTGACAGGATTTAGAATTGTGTAACATCCTACATCATTGCTTTTGGTTTTTATTTTTGGTTTTTGGGTCACACCTAAAATTGTTTAGGGCCTACTCCTCACTCTGTACTCAGTGATCACTCATGGCAGACTCTGAGTACTATATGAGTTCTGAGGATCAAACCCAGGTCGGCCACATGCAAGGCAAGCACCCTACCCCTATATTATCTTTCCAGACCCAAGATCCCACATTATTTATTTTGGGGTCACACTCAGTGGCGGTCAGGGGCTCAGTCGTAGTGGTGCTTGGGGGACCATGTGAGATGCCAGAGATCAAACTGGGTCAGTCAGAGGCAAGACAAATGTCATACCTACTGTACTATCCCTCCAGTCCTGATTCTACATTATTTAGGATAACCATCATTTTCTAATTAACAGAAGTAACCTAAGGAGGGGCAGATAGTGTTTTGGTGAAATTAATATTAAAGCATGGCCATCCTTTTGATTACCCTCTGTTGCATAACAAACTGCAAAACATTCGTGTGAAGAACAGTTTATTGTGTCTCCAACTCTGTGAGTTGGTCAGGCTCTTCCTTCCCCGGCTCCTCCCTGCTGTGCACTGTGGCTGCGTCCCAGTGGGAAACTGGCTGACCTAGAAGTCCAAGATCACCTCAGGCGCTTATCTGGCAGCAGTTATGGCTACAGACTGGCCGTCTTGGGTTCTCTCCACCTGGCCTCTTGCACTGGTATTTCCCTTGGCAAGTTAACGGAAGTTTGTCCTCCAAGGGCCAGTGGAAGTTGCTCAGTCTCTGGGAACCTACATCCCAGACATCACACAATATTACTTCTGCCCAAGCCTCAGTTTTGTTTTTGTTTTTTCGGAACTAATCCCAGCAAAGTGTTTGGTGGTGGTGGGGACCGGGGTGGGGGGTGTTACTGGCAGAGCCCAGCAGTGCTCAGGAGACCATGCAGTGCCAAGGACCAAACCCAGGGCTCTCTTGCAGGCCAAACAAGTGCTCCAGCCCTTTAAACAGTCTTCTGGGCCCTCTCCCATAGTAGGTCATCAGGCCAGCACAGACTTGAAAAAGTGAAAAGAGTTTTACTTCTGGATGGGAAAACGGCACAAAAATATTGCACAGAAGCACGAAGTGTGGGATGGGAGAAAGTTGTGGCCATTTAAACAGCATACGTCTGTCCACAGTGAGCGAGCTGTTTCTAGCTGTAACACAGCCAAGCATGTGGGGGGAACAGGAGAAAGGGAGTGATCCTTAGTGAGCATCCCAACTAAAATGATGTGTGAGCACTGTGGCCAGGAGTTTGATCCCTGGCTGCACCTGCGGTGCCCAGATATGCATGACAGCAAGAATGTGTGTGAGCACCACAGTCAAATGAGTACAGCTCCTGGGAAGCAGCCACAAAAAAACACTCAAGCACCCCAGCCAAGCATGTCTGAGACCTCCGTTGTCTCAACAGAATCAGCAAAGAGATGGGACAGGGGAAATTTTTAAAAATTTATACAAAAGGGGGCCATAAAGATAGTATAGTGGAGAGGGCACTTGCCTTGCATGCAACCAACCTGGCACCCCATAAGTTCCCCCCAGCATCATCAGAAGGAATCTCTGAGCACAGAACCAGGAGAAAGCCCTGCGCTTCGCTGGGTGTGCCCAAAAACAAAATAAATAAAGTCACACATAAGGGTGTTCAGTGCAAATGGTACACTTTCTTGGGGGGGCTGGGGGTGGAGCAAGATAGGTTTTATGGATTTATTTAAAGAGAAGTGAGGGGAGAGGGAGGGAGAAGTACATGTATGAGGGAGAGCACAGGCTTCTCTAGAGTGAAAATAGGCAGGCAGAGGAACATTGAGACAGGCAAGGAAGAACATGAACTTGAAGCCATGAATGGAGCCCTCATAAGATGCTCATAATGACTAAGGAGAGAACGATGGGGGACACATCTCCAGGAGTAAGGCACATGCCTGGCATATGTGAATCCTAACATGTGAATCCTGAGGTGTTTTGTTTTTGTTTTTGTTTTGTTTGTTTGTTTGTTTTTTATTGAATCACCATGAGAACAGTTACAAAGCTTTCAGGTTTAAGTCTTGGTCATACAATGATGAAACAAACACCCGTCCCTTCACTAGTTCCACCACCAAGAACCCCAGTATACCCCATCCCACCCCTCCCCCTGCCTGTGTGGCAGATGATTTTCACTTTAGTCTCTCTTTACTTTGATTACATTCAAATTTTTGACAAAAGACCCACTAATATTATTTGGAATTTCCCCCCAACTATCACACCTGCCAAAAAGGCATCATTAGATAATTTGTTGTCTATTGCAGAAAATGAAGAGCATATGATGTCACGCAGCCGCTGTTGTGGCTGTGCGATTTTTGATTTTTGGTATCTTAGTGATTAAGTCCAGAGACATTTCTGCCAGAAGCCGCCAGGTTCCCAGATTGGTCTGTGTCGTGAATCCTGAGTTTGATCCCCAGCATCACTGCTACGTGGAGCCTGGTGGCTGGAGTAGAGCCCCATGGGGGTGGCCCCTAATAAAACCAAAACAAGGAGAACTGGAATGGCAAAAACAGTGACAGACGATTTTTTTTCTTTTTTG